TACAAACTTAAACCTGGTAATTACTGAAGCCAAAAACACGGGTTACCGTCACGACATGAAAGTTTAATCAAACAGCTGATGTGCTGATTTGGGCTTCATGAATGGGTGCCTGAATACAATTGTCTGATCAGAAAAATACATACATAAGTAGACAGAGAGATAAATAAATCATTAAAACTAAAGTAACATGTCTATTTGGAAAATGTAGTGAGTAAAAAGTACAGATTTTTCTTTTGAAATGTAGTGAGTAAAAGAAAAAGTATTAAGTAACAGAAATACTCAGGTCCTGATACCTAAAAAAAGATTACTTGAGTACGGTAACAAAGTACTTGTACTTTGTTACTTACCACCTCTGCATATGGGGACATCTGTCATAACTCCCATGTTCATTAAATGTCATGAAGACCACCATGGGATTTTTGACCCTGTTTGATGCATAAAAAGAATATCTCCTTTTGTGCGAGATGTGTTACATTCTGTATAATTCCAACGTGGGTGGGCAAAGCTGCTGTAATTTGAAATTGTAGATATATAGTCATATCCAAACTTTGGCACCCCTGGTCAAATAAGTCAAGTCAAAGTTTATTTATATAGCGCTTTTTACAACAGGTGTTGTCAAACCGGGTCCAAGATCCCATGAGCAAGCCAATGGTGACAGTGGCAAGGAAACTAAACTCACTAAGAGCAAGAGGAAGAAACCTTGAGAGTAACCAAGACTCAAAAGGGGAACCCATCCTCCCCTGGTGGACACCGGATAGCAAACAGTGCTAGTATAAAATATTGTAATACAAAACGGGCAAAACAGGCAGAGCAATGGTTAATTAAATAGTTTGAGTTTATGCATCAGCAGGAAGGTCAGTTCATGCAGGTGAGGTGCAGATCAGCCAACAGAGATGCAGCTCTGGTGACTCTAGCAGCTCTGGTGGCTCACATGTGGCGACTCAGTCAGATGTCGCTCAGGGGCTCAAATAAAGGGAGCGAGAGAGAGAGAGAGAGAAATTGATTGACAGGACAGGTCCAATTATGGAGAGATATTAGTGAGTTAATAGTGCAACAACTGATATTAGCAAAATGCTTGTGCAAACATAAGTTTTGAGTCTAGTTTTAAAGAAAGTAGAGAGTGTGTCTGAGTCCCGAACAGAGGTCAGGAGATGATTTATTTTTTTTTTGGTCCTTAAGGACTCTAGCAGCTGCATTCTGGATCAGTTGGAGCTTATTTATTAAAATGTTGGAGCATCCAGCTAAAATGGTGTTACAGTAGTCCAGTCTGGAGGTTATAAATGCATGCACAAGTTTTTCTGCATCTTTTAGGGCTAGAATATTACGTAGTTTAGCAATGTTACGCAAGTGAAAGAATGCGGTTCTAACAATGTTGCAAACGTGTATCAAAAGAGAGACTGGAATCGAAGATGATGCCTAGATTTTTTACAGTAGTGCTTGGAATGACCGTATGGCCATCTAAATTGAGTTCAAAATTGGAGAGCTGAGATCTCTGCTTTGGGTCCAAGTAGTAGGACCTAAGTTTTGTTAGGATTAAGAAGAAGGAAATTGTTGGTCATCCAGCTTTTGATAATTTTAACACATTCTTCAAGATTATTTAGATTTAGAGCCTCATTTGGTTTAGCAGATATGTAAAGTTGTGCATCATCCGCGTAGCAGTGAAAACTAACGCCGAACCTGCGAATTATGTTACCAAGAGGTTGCACGTACAGAGAGAAAAGCAGCAGCCTGAGCACAGATCCTTGGGAGACACCATATTATACTAGCGTGCGATCAGAGTGTTTATCATTAACACTGACAAATTGATAATGGTCTGTCAGATAAGATTGGAACCACGACAAAGCCTGTCCTTTCATGCCAACCAGATTTTCCAGCTTATCAAGGATCTTGTGGCCGATAGTATCGAATGCTGCACTGAGATCTAAAAAGACTAGGATGCAAATATGGCCACTATCGAGAGACACAAGATCATTTAGTACTGTAGTTAAAGCTGTTTCAGTACTGTGAAAGGGTCTAAAGACAGACTGAAACATCTCATGGAGAGGGTTTTCTTGTAGATAGGAGCACAGTTGATGCTGAGACCACTTTTTCTAAGATCTTAGCAATGAAAGGGAGATTGGAAATTGGTTTATAGTTGGCGAGTTCATTGGGATCAAGATCTTGCTTTTTAAGTAGGGATTTAACGACTGCGAGTTTTAATGATTTTGGTACATATCCCGGACTGAGAGACGAATTTATTATAGACTGCAGAGGTTTAACCACAAAATGTTTTGTTGATATTTTAAGTGAAAAAAGTTAATACATCTACAGAGAGCATGCTTCTGCACATTTTATGCACAAGTAATATTTCCTTGATTGTTACGTCCAACAATGTATTGTTTGCAAGGTGTCTTTTCTTCTCTCTTGCGTAAGCTTTCGCTCTCCTCAGTTCCTTGCTCTCCTGGCTGTCATAACCGTCAGCCTTGTTTTCTTTGGGGTTTGTCTTTGTTTTTGTTGAGGGAGTTAGGTTATGTTTTTGTATTTTTGTTTCTTTTATTTTGTATAGGTAAGTTAGTGGATTGGGGAGGTATCATTTTCTTTGTTCTTTTGGCTGAGACCACTCCTGAAGCTTAAGCTTCCTTAATCCATAATAAAACTCATGAGACTGGTAATATGTGTTTGAGTGTGATTGGTCTGGCGAGTTGGGAATGGGAAGTTGGGGGAGACACTTATGCTGCGGCCTGCCCTAGACGGGTCGTAACGTTGATGAACTTAAATCTGGAAAAACATCAAATGTGACATACAATATTCTAATTTTTTTTTCAAGTCCAGCAAATATTAATTGCGCTCCAAAATGTGCAAAAGAAATTGTGTTTAAGTGTGTAGACTATTTGCTAACTTGTTTCACTAGGGGTGCTCAAACTGATGATGAGGTGTCTTGGTGAGCCAACACAGGCATGATATTTCAGGGGTGTCATGATGAGAGTAGGCGTCTACAGGTCAGTGCTCTCTGGAGCACTGGACGGAGCCTTGAGAACAGGCATTGACAAGCCAGAGCTCTCTGTAGAATGACTCGCTAAAGTGGGCCAAATAGCAGAGAAACTCACCCATGAAGTCCCTCTGCAGCTCTGGCTCCCCAGTGTAGATGAGGGGTTAGGCTGGCATTATGGAGACAGGCTTGATTGTGGCTTTATTAGGCATAATCCAACACATCACAACAGGCAGGGGTCAAAACACAAGAACAAACGGAGGACAAACAGTTTGGAACTCAAGGTTAGAAACACAGACACTTCTCAAACAAACAGATTAAACAAAGAGGCATATATCAAAGTCTTAATGAGTCCAGGACATGAGCTGCCTAGGTGTGTGTAATGGAGGAAATGGGGTGGAGCCAGTGCAAGTCAAAGTGACACTTTCCCTCTGTGGAGACTCCATGTGGACTCTCCAGAGAGAGGAGACATTATGACATTGCTGGACATGCCTCCTGAAACCTGCTGCAACCTCCGTTTTCCACAACTCAACTTCAGCCTGAGGAAGCAGCCATTAGCTGACTACTAGCGTGTTCTAGCTAAAAATGTACTGTTTACGGCTCTTTTGCTTTGTTTAGAATAAAATTAGTATTGAATATATTAAATATTGGTTTACAATGGTGGGTGTTTATTAAATTTTAAATCTATTACATATATCAATTGCAAGGGCCTTAGCTAGTCACTTTAGATAGCATGCGTGTAAGCCCATACAGTTTATCCACACATAAAATAGGATTTTGTCATTGGTAAATGGCCATGTGAGAGGAAACTCTGATTAATAACTCAGACTTTCGCTTTTATAGACTTAATCGTCTAAACAGTAATAGATAGATAGATAGACAGATAGAAGATAGATCACTTTGTTAATCCCAGAACGAACTTCACACATTACAGCAGCAACCAAGGAAAAGTATTGCAAGTAAAAGTAAGAGTAATAAACCTAAATAAACACCAATCCTCTGAGTAAATATAAACATAATATATGATAAGTAGTCCAGTATAGTGAAATATGTTTAGCTAGCAGCAATAAAAGCATGACATCAAGTGCAAAAATGCAGATATCCAATGAGCTTATTCAAAGAATGTACATGTACAGGTCGATCACTGTTGGTAAAAATGACCTCCTGTACTGTTCCTTGACACAGCAGAGCTGAATGAGTCTGTAACCAGAACTGTAGAACACTTCTCACCTCAAAGGATATTAAAGACACTCCTAGTATTTCAAAGGCTACAGCAATGGCCCTGTGGACTGGATTAAATCAAAGCATCTTTTTACCTTAAACAACATGACCAATTATTATTATTATTTGTATTTTTAAATCACTAACTAGCAATCAAATCTGGGTGTCAGTTTTCCTAAGAGCATTTGTTTAAAGAATGCTTCATGTTGAATTTTTTGGAAATTTAAATTGGAAGAGCAAATGCACATCTAACTATCATAACTTAATTACAATATGTATTGCAGTTTGTTTAAAGTGGCAATATTAAAGTATATACTTTTCATTTTAAATCCATTTGAAAGGTACATTTAATTGGATTTTTTCACAAAGGCAGTTAAGGGGAATCCCAAAGATGTTTCAAAATTTCTGCCATTAAATTTTTAAATTCACGGTTAGCATAAAACTTTTTTTTAATCATCCTGTCCAAATGAGACTGTACAACATACAAAATGCGTGTCCATTGCTGGTTGTCTTTTCTTCTGCACAGTGTAATTTAAAGTGTTTGTTCTCTAATTTAAATCTTGATATTATATCAAATCAAAGATTATACATGATGTTATGGTAAGTCCTGAATTCTGTGTGAAATCTTCACGAATCCTCTTTCCTATTGCCCAATCAGAGCGCTGGAGGTAGGGCTTGGCCGGAAACGGGTGTGATTTAAAATAACGACAGTTCCGCCTGTTTCCGTGACCGCGTGGTTACAGTGTACAGCCGCTTCAGGCCACGTGGTGGCGCTAATTCTTTAACTATGACTGTCTCGAACTGCACTCAAGCGGAGAAGCAGAAAGTTGTGTTGTGGTCAGCGGTCCACGCCTCCGCGCTCATACAGTATAGTTAGAGAAAGAGAAACAAGAGCTGAACTGTTGAAGGTAGGAAGCTGTCCGACTCTTTAACACTCACTGTTCTTCATTCACTCTGAGACAAACAGCTGGAGACACATTTGAGTCTGAAAATAAGATTTGATGAAGCGGCTTCATTCAAACGTGGCTGAGTGATGTGAGCTGTTGGACCAGAATATTTGGTTGATAATGTTTTTCTAGGTTGGCAAACGTAAAGCATGTTTGTTTCCGATATATATGCTACTTGGAAAATCTGTCAGTTAACTTATTGTGTTAATAAAGCTCTTATCGAGTGGATCTTTTTTTGCTTTCCAGCCAACTTTTGGAACAAGTTTTTTGGTTTTTGGCAGATCTCATGTGCGTCTGTTGTTTTGTGTATAAATACTTTCAAGTTAACTTATTCATTTTAAACAAACTATGAGGATGAGTCTTTATGTGCATAACTGTTCAACTGTCAGTTCATGAACATGTAAAGCAGATCTTATCAACCATTCACTTATAAAAATTGTGCAAAGACTTCATGCCAAATTGAACATGTAGCTTTAATTAATGCATAAAGTTTGATTGATATAAAAATGATTTGATTGACGTCATATCCAAGGTGGGTAAACATATTTGTGTGAATGTGTTGAGAAAATAACAGTTTGTTCTAGAACAATACGAAGTGCTTCCTGAGAGCTGTGAATGTCTGAGTGGGGGTTTCTGGTCAATGGCTGGTAGATTAAGAGCTGGGAGGAGTGACATCAGCAATTCTCTGTGGTGGTTGTTTGAGGTCTGTTTAGATGGGGGTGTAGTGTGTGAGAGCGGTTCAGGAGCTTGATGGTCTAGTTCAGATGTTCTCAGTTCCAGTGCTGTGTATATTTTTGTATTTTCCCTCCTCTAACACACATCTCAGCACGTGATCAATTTATTAGTTATATGAGGCTGCAATGTGAAAGAAAGCATAACAGTTTGTATAGTGTGGGGTCTCCTGTAAATGGGAACCTCTTGTCTGGTTGTATTTAATGAAAACTGGTGGTCCTTTATTTTTCACACTCTCTCTCTCCAGACAGCATGAATGTAAATAGAGTGTGATGGGGCGGGTAGTAATATTCGTGAACTTCGTGGTCCCAGCAGTATACGGCATCTGATTTGAATGCAGATTCATTGCTGAAAGTCTTGTTGGAGGTGAAAAGGTGCATTTATTTAAAGTAGTCAATAGGGCTGTTGCCATGGCAAACTTAGTTAATTTTTGACATAGCGGATCTTTGATTTAAGAACGTTAATTTATAGGAATGTTGTTTTAATAGCTAAACAATTCTTGTCTAGGCCAGATCTTTCACAATTATTACATAATCTGCTGACTGTGATTCTTTGTGCTGACTGTTATCATTCAAACTGATCATGATTATTTTTATTGGATTTCACATTAGATCTTTCTCTAATGCTTTACTAGACATGTAAATGTGTTTAGGTGTGTCAATAGCATAAGCTCTGCCTCTCACCATCCACTTTAATCAGGTTGGATGCACTCAAATGATTTCCACAAAAGTTTGTAAATGAAAAACACTCAGAATAAACAAAGAGGTGTAATAATGATATAGTTTTACAATGCAGTGTGTTGTTTCCCGCTATTAACCTTTATTACTAATTGTGTTAGCTAAAAAGTGTTAAAAGCTAAATAAAAATGGACTTATATGGACTATATGGGGATTTGTATTTTCCACAGACACAGATTCAGAGGCTGAAATTTTCAGAATCAGGAACTGATTTTCAGCAGAGAATTGGATAAAGCTTTGCTAATGGGTAAGTGCATAAAACAGTGTGTGTGTGGGTGTGTTTGTGGTAATTTGTGTTGGATTGATACCAATATTTTGACTTTGATATTAATGCCAGCTTTGACTCTTCTGTATTTATTCCAAATCAACACCCCAGACAACAGAATAATCAGAATAGGAATCAGGCATTATTGGCCATGCTGGCAGGCCCTGTCCATTTAAGGAGTTAATGGAGTACTTGAGTACCCAAAGATATGTTTAAATAAGGACACACTACCATGAATGCAAAGAATCACTCTCATGAAACACAAAATCTAGCACAAAAAGCATTCTAATGGTGCCAGTCTTATCCAGACCAGTTTAAGGGGGGCACAGAATCAATTATTATTATTAATTATCAATTATAATTAGAAAATTGTCCAAATCTAATGACACTTCCTTTGGTCTTGGCTGCATTGATGCCTCTGAACTTAAGGAGCCTTACACACAAAGTTATATGTTAGATATTTTATTTATTAGATAGAATTTAGAGGTAGCTGTGTGATTGATATTAGGCCAAGCAATATCTATCACTGGCTTACCCAAAATGGCTGCTAAAGTGTGCTTTTAATATTACAAAATTATCAATAAATAAACAAACAAAAAAATGTGCTACCTAAATATGGCAAATTTAAATTTCCATTTTTGCTTTCGGACAAATTTAGTTTAAATATTCAAGTTTAAACATTAAATATAGGGATGCACTGATATTCTTCATGTACATATCTGCCAATGGTGAAACATAATACATTAATATTTTTTTGTTTATTTATTTATTTACAAATATGTCACTGTTTGGGAACACATCAGATTTTCTTCGTTTTTCTAAAGAAGCACTTTAGCGCCTGTTCGTGAGTGAAATGATGGCCCATTAGGGCTGTTACGATAACTGCATTACTGCAATACCATGGTCATGTGATGTCTATCGTAGGGTTAAGGTCATTACCATCACCATTGCATTTATTTTGTATTACTTTTTGTTTTTGTTTTGGGGTTTTTTGTTTGTTTTTTTGCTGGTGAAAGTTGATTCACCATCATTAATCATGCTTGCATCAGTTTCATCAGTTTACTACCTTACAAGCAGCTCTTTGTTAGTTAGCTGAAAAAGCCTAGGCTGTAGTGTTAGCTGAGAACTGTTCCTGTAAATTTTAAGCTACATTACCTAGCATTGCTTTCTGTGGTCTCGATGTGGCTTAATTTAACATAGTAATGACAAAATGCTGAGTGGCATGCTGTGACGCGCTGAGAGTGTTCAGAGTTGTCGACGCAGCGCTGGTATGTGCACCTTAAAAGTGTAACACCTCTGTATCAGTCTGTGACCACTTTATGTGAGTCATGATTCTTCACAAGAGCTTTGGTTTCAGGCGTATTGCCAGGTTTATTAGTTGACAAACACAAGAACAAAACATTGGGGTCATAAAAAGGTACAGGCTACAGCTCTCAGCTCCATCTTGCCATACACATAACACCTATGACAGTGACCATAAAAGAGTGATCGTATACATTAGATACTGTAAAAATATGAAATTATATCACTTTATTCTGATTTGATATGATCTACTAGGCAGCTGCCTGACAAGAACCCATTTTCTGTTATGTTACTATAGCAACAATTATAGACTGTTATATTCAGAAACAACGCTTACTAAAACAACAGAAATACATGGGAAGATATTAATAAAGTAAACATAATGAAATGTACAGGAGCTGAGAGCTGTAGCCTGTACCTTTTTATGACCCCAGCGTTTTGTTCTTGTGTTTGTCGCTTGTATCTATAAGTGACAAACACAAGAGCAAAACGCTGGGGTCATAAAAACATGGACTGACCGATCACAGGCTTTGCTGCCAAGTTTTTGTTGTCTGTGGAGTTCATCTAGCTGCCATGTGTGCAACATGGCAAGCAAAGCCCCACACAACGTCTGCAATTGTTTGTTTTCTCTGCAAAAATGCCATATTGTTTGCTGAAGTTTGCTCAGGATTTATAAGTCAAATAAGCACTAAAACCTTACCAAATAAAAATGCTTGTAGCTGAATTCGTATTTAAGGTCCTTAATAAACTTGTAAAGCAGAGGATCCAGTGATATTCAATGGAAAAATGTACATATCATTTGGTTAACCACAAGACATGATGGTGGCGGTTTTAAAATAATTCCAGCCACTTTTGACATGGAGAAGTCCAGCTTAGCCCCAGAGTTTTCAATATCAGCATCAGCATGACAACATGATTTCTGTGGTCTATATGTCTATTTGGAGAGTTTGGCTGATTAGGTGATAAGCATTTCCGCATCAGATGGAAGTTTGTTCTTTCATTATAGTTTCTGCCAGTTGATGTAAGTGGAGCATTCATGATTGGGATGAGACTACTTTTGTTGCATTGCACATTGAGTGTTGATTTTTTTTTCTTCTTGCAGAAATGAATACGCACTATTTCAATTCTTCTCCTGCACTTGCCTACCCAGCTTAAATTTCCTTCTGTAAACATATTAGGACATTGCACCAAGAGGAATGTTAAGCTGCTGAAATAGGTTACATATAAGAAGATGGTGTTCAGAAGACGTTCCGGTATTGAGCAAACATCATCTGGTACCACACAGAAATGCAGCAAGGAGAGAACTCACCGCTGTTTGGAGTGTGGAAAGAGTTTTACACAACAGAGTACTCTGAAAATACACCAGCGCATTCACACAGGAGAGAAGCCGTATCACTGCACAGAGTGTGGGAAGAGTTTTAATCGTCAGAGTCATCTCCAAGAACACCAGCGCGTTCACACAGGAGAGAAGCCGTATCACTGCTCAGAGTGTGGGAAGAGTTTTAATCATCAAAGTAATCTCAAAACACATCAGCGCATTCACACAGGAGTTAAGCCATATTATTGTTCAGAGTGTGGAAAAAGCTTTAATCATCAGAGTCATCTCAAAACACATCAGCGCATTCACACAGGAGAGAAGCCGTATTCCTGCTCAGAGTGTGGGAAGAGTTTTAATCGACAGAGTCATCTCCAGCAACACCAGCGCATTCACACAGGAAAGAAGCTGTATTCCTGCTCAGAGTGTGGGAAAGGTTTTAATCGTCAGAGTTCACTCCAACAACATCAGCGTATTCACACAGGAGAGAAGCCGTATCACTGCACAGAGTGTGGGAAGAGTTTTAGCCTTCAGAGTTCACTTCAACATCACCGGCACATTCACACAGGAGTTAAACCATATTACTGTTCAGAGTGTGACAAATGTTTTAATCATCAGAGTTCTCTCAAAACACACCAGCGCATTCACACAGGAGAGAAGCTGTATCACTGCTCAGAGTGTGGGAAAAATTTTAATCAACAGACTTCTCTTCAAGAACACCAGTGCATTCACACAGGCGAGAGGCCGCATCACTGTCTAGAGTGTGGGAAAAGTTTTACTCGTCAGAGTTCGCTCCGAGAACATAAGCGTATTCACACGGGAAAGAAGCTATATCACTGCTCAGAGTGTGGGAAGAGTTTTAATCGTCAGAGTCATCTCCAACAACACCAGCGCATTCACACAGGAGAGAAGCCTTATGACTGCTCAGAGTATGGGAAGAGTTTTAAGCTACAGAGTCATCTCCGACAACACCAGCGCATTCATAGAGGAGAGAAGCCATATCACTGCTCAGAGTGTGGGAAGAGTTTTAATCGTCAGAGTAATCTCCACCAACACCAGCGCATTCACACAGGTATTAAACCATATCACTGCTCAGACTGTGGGAAGAGTTTTAATCAACAGAAAAATCTCCAACAACACCAGCTCATTCACACAGGAGAGAAACCGTATTACTGCTCAGAGTGTGGAAAGAGTTTTAATCATCAGAGTACTCTAAAAAAACATCAGCGCATTCACACAGGAGTTAAACCATATTACTGCTCAGATTGTGGAAAGACCTTTACTCAGCAGAGTCATCTCCAACGACACCAGCGCATTCACAGAGGAGAGAAGCCGTATCAGTGCTCAGATTGTGGGAAGAGTTTTAATCAACAGGTTCATCTCCGGGAGCACCAGCGCATTCACACTGGAGAGAAGCCATATCACTGTTCGGAGTGTGGGAAGAGTTTCAGGCATTCAAAGACTGTGAAGACACACAAGTGCACTAAGGGCAGTGGTGGAAATTAGCAGTAATGAGTGTAACCTTAACATATTCTGGGACTAAAAGTCTGCAGGGAATTGTTTTTCCAGCTCAGATTTAAAAAAATCCTGATAACTGTTTTTTAGAGAAGAAATCTGCATTTTGTTGTTTTACCCTGTTTCTAATACATGATCATACAAAGCAATATTTATGAGGAATATTAATAATATGGTGAAAACAGTTGAGATGCTCCACATTCAATATTTTGTTTACTTTCTAATTTAGTATATTTAAGCTTGTATAGTGTATCTATTGCAATAATGTAAGTTATGTCAAATATTTGATAGTGTGCTTAGCTTCTTGAGACCCTAAAGTGGCTTTTGCTCCTTTGATTTTTATGTTAATTAGTTAATGCTTGTTGTGGTGAAGGTGCCACTTTGTCTTCCTTTTTAATCTTTAGGAGATGTTATCTGTATGCTGTATGTTCGGATTGTTCTTTTTGAGGACTGTAATTAAGGAGATATGACCCTGAAGACTGCGGCAGTGAAGTTTTTGCTGTCCTGTGCAAAACTGAACAGCTATATATAGGAGACACAGGAGTATAAAAAACTGCAAGAAATCAAGCTATCTGAGTAACATGCTGGTGACCTCTCCTCGGTATGGTCTACGTATGCCTGTTTTTAGCTGCATAAAGTTGAATACAGGCCAGACGACAGCACATTAACTTTCCATTACTCTTTTCAGAGACTTTAGAGACTGTTGATTTTCTTTTTGATGCTTGGAGAGTGACTGTTCCCTGAGATGGTCGCAGTGACATGAGATAAGGACTTGTTTATACCCATCTCCAGTCTATCCCACCAGATATGTCAGCTGATGGTACAGGAGTTGGTATCTCCATCATAAGTGCTGGAAAAATCATGGAATTTCATGGACTTTTCGAGCTAAACCTAAGGAAATGAAGAACGATGTCCATCTAATCATGATGACGCAACGTGTCTGTATATGTGTTAAAACAAGATGCTAAACACTTTTTACAAATGAAACTGATGTACATGTTTGCACATGAGAATATGGGGTGACAGAGGAGTATCTATCTATCTATCTATCTATATCTATATATCTATCTTTGTCTCTCTTCTCCCTCTCTTAGTTTTACTTGATTTACTTGATTGATTTTTTTGTCTTTAAACTTTTGTCTTTGTTAAGCCTTTGGTGTTAGGTTTTGGGTGTTTTTATAAACATGTTAACTTGTTGAGATTATTTTTCTCCATTTTTTTTTCTCTATTTTTATTTGTTAAATAATATTTCGTTTTTATATTGCTGTAAACGTGAAAAAATCTATAACATTTTTTATCTGTTTTTCTCTTAATTCACTGTGTGGTCTATTCTTTAGTTTTTAGAATATATCACGTCACAAATAATAAATGGGTGTTTTTCTTTAGCTTCTAATATCAAACCAGGCCTTCTCAGTTTTCTGTGGCAAAAACTGACCATCAATACAAACAAGGTATTCCACCATGCTATATAACCTAATAGATGCATATCTTTTCTTTTTTTTGATGTTGTTCCATAGAATCAGAATTCTGGATGAGTATGTTACATGTACATTTCATGGACAAAAGTATTGGTACACCCCTTTATAATTATTGAGTGTGTGTTTCAGCCACACTCATTGCTGACAGGTGGATACAATTAAGCACATAGCCTTACTGTCTCGATAGACAATCACTGGCAGTAGAAAGGTTTGTACTGATCAGCTCAGTGACTAAACATGGCACTGTTATAGGATGCCACCTTTGCCACAAGCATTACCTGCCTGACTGCATTGTGCCAACTGTAAAGATTAGTGGAGGAGGGATAAGAGTGGCAGGGGGGCTAATGCTAGGGGGCTGTTTTTCAGGGGTTGGCTTAGGCCCCTTAGTTCCAGTGAAAGGAAATCTTAATGCTTCAGCAGACCAAGAGATTTTGGACAATTGTATGATTCCAAATTTGTGGGAAAAGTTTGGGGATGGCCCTTTTCTGTTCCAGCATGACTGTACCCTCGTACAGAAAGCAAGGTCCATAAAGGCATGGTTGGGTGAGTTTGGTGTGGAAGAACTTGACTGACCCACACAGAACCCTGACCTCAACCTTTTTGAACACCTTTGGGCTCAGCTAGAGTGGAGATTGTGAGCCACACACTCTCTAACAGTGTCTGACCTCACAAATTCTCTTCTAGGCAAATGGGCAAAAATTCCCACATGCACATCTAAACTCTTGTAGTAAGCTTCCCAGAACAGTGGAACCTGATACAGCTGCTGTGTCAGTATTAGAACACCCAAAAAGAGGAAACACTACAGTGAGTGATGACCTGAATTTGCAAAAAGAGTTTATCATCAATTCGATTGGTTGAGTTGATAATGTCACTCGTAAAGAGCTGCAGTGGTGAATGTTGTGATGTAGTGCTCTCTCTCTCTCTCTCTCTCTCTCTCTCTCTCTCTCTGCCTCTCTTTGCTCTTGTACATTGTGCAGATGCAGCTCTGCAAGATGTTTCACTGCAAAAGCAGCATTAACCTGAGTGAAAGACATAGTAAAATACGATTGATGATAAGAACTAACACTACAATTAACTACAGGCCTTTCTGTTTTGGCCTATTAAACAAATGACACATGAAGCAAATGTGGGTTAGTTCTACAGTACTTCCTTTTGTGCTTTTCTTACATTCCCTCACTATAGATTTTTATTTCTCCATTTCTACCTAGTTTTTCTACCTAATAATTCTGCATTTATACCAAATCTTTAGAACAGAAAACATCTAGGATCTCAGCTCACTGGAGATACTATTGATTTCAGTTCAGAAGCTCCAGCCTCCTAAAGCTTGCCACTTTCTCAGGGAGGTGCAGAACTGAAGAAATAAAAATGAAGAAATGTTAGATGTATCCATAATGTTAGATGATTGCAGAATGAGTAAGGTAGCAATGTTGCGATAAAATTTAATATCCAGTATTCCTTTTATTTGCAAAGCGGTGATCAAATCATGAACCAATTTTGAAACAGATACTGAACTCTCACAAGAAATTACTATAAAAAGATTATTTTATAATTATTCATTTTATATCTTCAGATGATTTAAATCTACTTTGTATAAGTCATCAAAAAAAATCAAAGCTTCCTGTGTTGTAGCTATGTTTTTTGGGTTTTTTTTTTTCCCACCTCTTGTAAGTCCTATGTGTGTGTGGGTCGGGGCTGGAATGGGGGTGTTGTTCTTTAAATGGACAAATAATAAAAAATGAATCACAGAAAAAAAAATCAAAGCTATTAATATGGTGAGTGAGGTATGTAATGAACATCTGAAAGATTTTCAAGAATACATCTTATTTTTTATGGTCTTCTGCCATTAAAGAGCTCAAAGGGCATAAAGACTGTGAAGGCCTGGGATGTGTCTGTGAAGAGAACGTATGGTAGGAGGAGGTCCCAGTTCCGGCGTCCTCATCGACCAAGTGTCACAGCATTCTGTTCAGTGTCTGATTGTTATGCTTGACTTTCAAGAGATGACATAATTCTTTTATTAGATTGGACAAAAAAGGGCGTGCCCTGATCAGTCAGTATCTCCTTTGAAATGCCCACACGACTGAGGAGAAGCATGAGTTCTCAAGTGATGTTCTGGGTATTGGCTTTCCTTAGGGCCACGGCCTCTGGGTAGCATGTAGCGTGATCAATAAGGACTAAGAGGTATTCATGCCCCTGGGTGGATTTCTGCAGTGGTCCAACTAAGTCCATGCCTGATCTTGAATAGCACTCTTATCATGGACAATGGAATGAGGGGAGCTAGAGGCGGTTTCCTGGGGGGAGGAGACTGACAGACAGCACAGCATTGACAAAAACTTCTGACCTCAGCCTCCATAGAAGGCCAGTGAAATCTGTCTTAATTTCTTGAGAGTGTTTTCATATCCTAAATACCCACTTAGCGGATGCTTTTGTGCCAAATACATGGCAGTGTCTAATTTGGAATGGGGAAAGACCAGCAGTTCTGTACCTTCACTCCTCCTGACTGCCGTATAGTAAAGTAGCCCACCACTCACCAGGAAGTACTCTGTGGGCAGCTGCCTTCCTGTAACATTCTCTCCTATAACCACTGCCACATTTTTGTTCTTTGGCATGTGGGTTGCTTTTCTTTGAGTACCTGGATGCTGTGATCAGAGAGAGGGTTAGCACCAAAATGTGGCTCATGCCCACATTCTCTACAAGTGTGAATGGAACCGACAGCTGGGCTGGACACACACACTGGAGACAGGGTCTCAGAGACATTCATTACAAACTCAAAATAGAGAGTTTAGCAAGAATAGGGTGCAAAAACAAAACTACGCCTCATTTGAGGCATTAAGGAAAAAAAAAGAATATGGCTCTGTGTCTAGGCTGTGTCTAGGCCCCCATGGCAGTCCTGTGGGGAAAAGCTCAGCGTGCGGAAGGTGAGTAGAGCTGGCTGGGATCTCCTTATGGGTCTGAGTCTGTCATGGAGGCTGGTTTGAGACAGACAGAAAGAGAGAAAGAGAGAGAGAGAAGGAGTGGTTTTTTCACAAGGGTGGACTGCAATGTAAGGTAACATCTTGAATTCCTATTTTGTTCAGATTATTTTTGAAGTAACACTAATTTCACTTCAGGAGTTACTCAGTAATCTTTCCAAATGAGCGCTGGTCTGAGCTAATGGTTAGATCTGATACAGTTAATACAATTATTTTGGGAACACAGAGAAGACCTGCTTGCTCTTTAGAAATGACTTGTTCATGAAAGAGACCAATGGAAACGTACAATACAAGACATGCTATAATCAGACAGTTAAGTTCACAGTTCAAAAGTAGAGCCTGAAATAGACGTGTTATAAATTCTAACTGGTACATGTTACAGGTCCCAGGTGTGGGAGACTACAGTACATAATCACTATACAGCCAGTGCTTCACTAGGGAACAGCAGCCATACTTGCATTCTGTTCGACAGCTTAGAATTAAAGCGCATTAACAAAAGGATTACAATGGCAGATTTAAAGAAATAAAAGAACAGTAATAAAATAAAAACACAAATTTGACCACACGTTTTAGGCATCACATGCTCACAGACAAAACAAAATGGCTCCTGACATTAATAAAAATCTCTGCCTCTTAACTTTGTACATCAATAATCATGCAGATTTATGAACAGATCCCACTTTCTAGTATACTAACACAGGTACTGGGTAAAATGAAGCTGTGGTGAAGCGTTGGATATGGGTGGGGAGTGTAATAGTTAGTGTGTGGCCTCAAAAGCTCCTATGGTGTTAAGAGAGTTGTATGGCCTTCAGGCTGACCTAATGTTGGCCTCCTATCACATATAGATATCTTAATTGTCTGAGACTGAGTCTCAGTAATGGACTGGGAAAACTAGGCACCAGTGCAGGGTCAACCTCTAGCTCAGGCTTTCTCTAAGCATCTATCAGTCTTGGGTCTGGTTCTGCTTCACTTTCTTTACCAGGATTATGAATTTCCTTTAAAGGTGTCTTCCCTTGAGGAACCTCTCTCTTTCTTACAGGTTTGGCATTAACAAAATTTCTAGCAGGAACACTGGTAAGTAAAGTAAAAAGGCAGTAAAGTAAAAAGGCATTAAGTAAGTGTTGCAGGTTTCAGTGTAGGATATGTGACTTTTACTCATCATTTTCAGTAGCTACCTTGTAGACAGAGCTGTCATGCATTTATCAGTTGTAATTCTTTTTCGCTTGTGCATTGGACAGTCTTACTTTTCTGGATGCAATGCGCTAGGCTTTGGTCATCCTCTCTCTCCATTTCTTGGCATGACCCTTTGGGGTCAGAGGCTCTTCATCTATTTCAAAACAGAACAGGAAATTTTCTGGGAGACATGGATGCTATCTGTATAACAGAAAGAATGAAGACTATCCAATAGCTTCATACTACGTACAATTATAGGCATAAACAAGTTGTGGCAGATGCTCCTCCTGTTAGCTTTTCTCCTTCTCCTCTAGTGTTCTCAGCATTTGTAGCATTTGTTCTGTTGAATCTTTCATCAGGATTGGCCTGTGGGTGGTAAGAGGTTGTTCTTGAGAGCCCCACCCCTCCACCACTTTTTGCAAAGTTCAGAATAGTCACAACCTTGATTCTGGTGCAACCTTGCTGGAAATCCAAATCGAGGACTAAAATCATTAAAGCTTCTCTCAGCGGACTTGTTCTTGGTTGCGTGCACATGTGCAAACCTTGCAAAGTGATTCACAATTACAAGCAAGTACTCGTAGCCATCCTTACTTGGCTCCAAGGGAAGGAACTCAATGGACACAAGTTTGAAGGGTGAGTTGGTAATAATGCTGACCATCATGGGTCTTACATGTGTGATTGGCTTCCTCATCACATCTTTCTGTATTTCTCTTTTTATAAAAGGCCAATAAAAATGTTCTTTGGCCTGACTGAGAACTCTCCCTGTGCCTACATG